TCCTCCAGAAGACCCTGATAGGCAAATTCTCAAAGTCTCGAAGCAACATTCGATACTCCATAGGTTGCCACACTTCACGTTGTTGTTGCCTGTTTCATCCCTAAACTTCTTTATATATATGCCACAAGCTTTTATGCAACCACCATCCCAAGCAAAAGTCGACTTCCAAGAACCCTGATATTGTCTTGTGTGACTAAAAGCGAGCAAGTGATCCCACATGCATATGACCCACAACAAATAGTTGCAAATCCATGCTCTAGTTGACTTTTTTTTCACTAATTTTGACAAAAATAATTCTCCCATCACAATTCAAGTGTTCAACCTGGAGGAGGGGGTTAAGGTCAAACTATGGCACGATAATTGGATAAAGGAGGTTCTCTCAAAACCCAATTTCCTCATATATATACCATTGCTTGTTACAAAGATGTCTTGACATAGGACGCCTATATTAGCACTACGAGGTCTTGGGAGTGGTCTATGAAGGTCACAAGGAAACTTAATGATTGGGAAGTGAAACAGTACAAGACTTAACTCCTCGCCCTTGCAAAGATCAGGCTCGATGCAATTAAAGAGCAACACTTTGAGGTCTTAATGTTAAAGGATCTTTCTTTGTAAATTCTTTCTACAACCGTTTGACAAAAAGAGAGGCTATAGGCAAACCCAAAAATGGCGCTAGTTTTGTTCACCAGCCACCCTCTGGGGGTGGTCGATACTACTTCCACCACCAAACTCATAAGGACTCGACCTATGGACCCTTGAAGCTTGCCACAAAACTCCATCAAAAGCTCGCCAACATAAGCACCTCCAACTGTTGTCTCTCGTGAATCCTAACTTCTACATTGCCGCATTTTATACCAGTCTCTTATCTGTGACCGACACCTCCAATTGAGTCGACTGCCAATCGGTTGTCACTGCTAGTAACCAGAATCTAGTCTATGAACCCAACTGCACCCAATCACAAGTAGAACTTGCTCAATCTATTCTATTTTGACCTCGTGAGTTTAAAGAGGCTAACTCCTGCAGTCAGCTCCCGCTTCAAACCATTATAAAGAGAAGTTTAGCTTCAACCATG